CCTACAGCCCTTCTAAGCTCAGGAGCAAGTCAGTCACTGGGTGCTTGCTGAAGTTAGATATGACTTTTTTAAAATGCCCTAATGAAGAGGGAAGTGCTTTTAGCACTGTGTCACCTGGTGAGGCACCAGTACTCAAGTACAGTTCTAGAAACAAACCTGCTGTTGTGTGTCTTGTGTCACTTGGCTAAGGGGTAAGAAGAGGTTTTAAAGACACCTGGTGAAGGGGAGGGAAATAATGGTCTGAAAAAATAAGTCTGTTAATAATTGAGGGGGGGTGTAAATACTGATGATTCTCCAATGGCTGAGATACTAAAGTGCTTTTTTAAATCTGTCTTGAACATGAAAAATAAAGAAAAGAAGTTTGGACAATTAGGAAGTGAGGAAGACCCTGTAATAACTATTACTAAAGAGCAGGTAAGGGATTACTTTGAAAACCTTGAATACATTCAAATCAGCCCATTGAGCCTGTAGGGGGATTGGCTAGTTGAGCTCCTTTCACAGAGTTCCTGAGAAATGGGAGAGACCAGGAACAGTTTAAGGAAATAGAAACAAGAGAACAAGCAGGAAAAGCCTGTTGCCTGAGAGAGAGAGAGTAGCTTCTCTTCTCACCTTGATGGTGAATGAATCCTGCAGTTGAGTTCTGCTGGCCTGAGGTTTCACGTGTGTGAAGAGATGGAGAGCCTGGGGCAGGATCTAGGCTTTCTGGGGTAGGAGGACCATGGGCAGCAGGCACTGTTGTGGGAACAGGAGGAGTTAACCTCATCACAGTGTTGTCTTCTGGTTGAATGACACCATTTAATCACAGTGAAATTGCTGCTGTGACACAGCTGTTGGATTTCAGTATCTCAATTGTGCAGCATTTCCAGGCCTTGCAGTCAGCATGAATGGAAGCTGGAACCTCTCAGGTACCTGCCAGGTGATTTTTGTGTGCCTGTACAGAAGAACCTGCCTGCTGAGTCCTAGAGTAGAATGTGCTGGCTCTGTGAAAGCCTCTGCCCCCTTCTGAAGGGGTGTGGGTGCTGGAGCTCCTTTGGGATCAGCACCTTTGGAAGGCTGGCAGGAATCCCTCAGGAGAACAAACCCCCTCTTCTGTTGGACCTGATGTGAAGCCCTCTGCTTCATTCTGTGTGGGCTGATCCAGCCCTGCTGGAATTCTGGCTGGCAAAAGATCTGCCCATGTTGGGGCCTGTGACTGTCAATCTGTGTCACCCTGACCATGATCCCAGGGTGCTGCCAAGGACAGGGCTTGTCAGGAGGTGAGGCAGGAAAACCCCAGGGCTGAGGAAAGCCTTGGAGCCCAAAGAATGCAGTTGGCATTCTGAGAATCCTGGCATAGTTTGGGCTGGAAAGCACCTTCAAGATCACCCAGTCCCAACCCCCTGCATGGGCAGGGACACCTCCCACCAGCCCAGGTTGCTCCAAGCCCCATCCAACCTGCCCTTCAACACTGCCAGGGATGGGGCATGTTCAGAGCAGTTGAGCAGAAAGGCACTAACCCAGGGCATAATGAAAATCAGTCCAGAAGACAGAGCTGAGGAAGAACCTGCAGGTGCTTTAGTGTGGCCCAGGAGCTGATGAGGGGCACAGGGAAGAGCTCAGAGGTCAGAGAGGGGACAGCACTCCTGCCATCTCAGGCACATTCCTGGAAGAAACTAGGGATAGACAAGGGTGTATTTAAAAAAATCCTTCAGCTGCCAGGCTTCCAGTGATGGTTTCCTTTGTCCTTCAGATCCTCTAGAGATCGATCTTCAAGAGAAAAGTCACGAGACAGAGAGAGGAAAGAGAAGAGCTCTTCTGAGAGGAGGCAGGAGAGCACA